CCGACTGTCATCCCTCTCAAATGTGATGGGATATTAAATGTATACCGCTGTGTATTGGGTATGCGTAAGACGCTTTCTATATGGATTACCTCACACATTAAATAGACTGTTGTCTTTTTTCACCCTTTTTGTCTGATTGGCTATGTCAGAGTTTATGTTCATTTGACTTGAGATGTAAGTTTGGGGGTTTAATCAATAAGATACGCCGTTTACTCTTTTGGCATTATTTTCTTGTGGGAGGCAGAGAATAGAAAGGGAATGCCATCTGTTCACGTCTAATGATGTCCCCTAAAATACTGACCTAAATTTGGTCAAAAATAAACACCAAGGAAGTAGTTCACGGCTAATTAAGTAATTGAAACTTATGAAGTGGGATCAACAAAGCAATATATGAGAGGGAAAAGGCGATCGAATAAAATTTGGTGGAGACTGGATTAAGTAATTCACCCATTTATCTTGGGTGCGCCCAGCTTGGCGTGATATGCTGACTTAAATCTTTAAACCACCTCATCACTGCTACCATTTTTTTCGTTGTAGGCAAAAATGTGAATTTTGTGATCATATTGATGGGAAAACCAGTCAATGCGCATCATATACCATAGACGAGCATTCGCTATAACCAAGAGGATGAATTTTTGAAATCAGATTACTCATTTAGTAAATATCTTACAACCTGAATTTATAAAACAAATGAAGACTCATAGATACCTTGATATTTACTCTGGGCGTCTTCTAGTACCCCATCCCCGATTATAGAGTTTCACTTATTTCTCAAATATGTCATATTTTAATCGGTTTTGAATGACTATGGTTTATAATAAAGATAATTTTAGTAAATATACCGGCAATATTTATTTCAAATGGCGGGCTTTATGACACCTATCATTAGCCCTTTAGCTGACTTCGGGCTTCACAGAGTGGAGGAACATCAAAGTGAGAAGAAGTGGAAAAGAGGAACAGAATAGTGTTTCATAGATGTTAGAGACATGCAGACAGGCACAAAGGCAGAGAAAAGTTAAGATTAGTACGGTGGAAGTGGTCGAATATGACATACAGTGGGGTCATGGCAACCGGTTTATAGACTTTTTTGCCGTATGGGAATACGTTGCCCAGGGTGCACCACGTGGAGGTAAGTCTAAATATACGTTGCCCAGGGTGCACCACGTGGAGGTAAGTCTATTGCATCCCATACCGGCAATATTTAGAGTAGGCATATTTACATAATGCTGCACAAAGCCAAACAAAAGTAGTGACATTGATTAGTGATATGACATTGATTTTTAATACCAAAATATAGAGGACCAGGTCAGGATGTTAGTACATAATTTCGAGAGTTTCACATAATAAATAAACAGTCAGAACGAAAAGAAGAAAACAAGTATTAAAGAGGATAAGCCATTCAAGAGTAGGAAAACCAATTGAATGTAGTAAGCGTTCATTATAGCCTTGTAGATAAACGCTTTGATACTAATTCAGCCTTCTTTAAGTGGAAAGATTGTAGCCAAATGTCAGCAAATAAAACAAGTGAAAATGATGGATATAAATTGAGGGAATTGAGGTTCAAACAGTTCAATTGTTGAAAAAATCTATATAACAGTGATGTAAAGCTCACTTTTAGCGAGGATAAGACACTTGAAAAGTGTTTTTCTTCAATAAGCCTTTAATTTTGAATGTGAAAGCTCCATAATTTGTTCCAGCTATGTTCCAACAATTTTTTTCATAAAAACTGTTCCAATTGATGTAAGAGTCGGAGAACGCGTATTTAACAAATTAAATGGTAAATACCATTAAATGTGATACTTTATCGGCAATTTTAAAGAGGCATAGATGGCAACTGTAAATGCTTCAAAATATACAGAAAATAAATAAATAAATAAAATTTTATTTTTCGTCAATTCAAAATACGGAACGATGACAATTTAATGAAGTTCGATTCTCAACTCGCTTTTTAGATTGAATGCGTTGCTATATATAGGACTGGAAATGTCTTTTGTTACGATTTATAAATAGTTTATTTCACAACATGCTACGGCTTCTTTAAAGTAAACGATTGACAGACAAAAGAGGATCACTTTATTCAGTGCCTTTACAGGTCTCTGGAGTACATAATTAGCCCTTTCCCTAGAAATAAGCAATAAAAACAGAGTGAAGAACATAAATTTTGGGAAATTGTTCTTAAAAGCTACCTGTAGCGGATCGCTACGCTAGTAAAGCCTGACCGACTCAGAAATCTCTATGGCAGATTCTCCAACATCTAGCTAGACTCCCAGAACAAGCTAAGCTATAGCCCAGCTATAAGGGAAATAGACGTGTAGCCCGGAATACGTTTATTCGGTACGTATATTAATAGCGAAGTGTTGAGATTGGCAAAGCGATTAGTCATCAGATAACTCTAGCACAATTCGTGCGAACATTAATAGCTAAAATATTTCTGAGTAGGGTTATATAGCAGGATTTCTATTTGGTCATTTATGATGTGCCCAACACTACCTTTATGCCGAAAAGCAACAAAATTTTTATTATTCAAGAATTTTTTTTAATTGGTGGTAAGCTAAAGAAGTTATTTTTTCAGTAAATAAGTTTAAATTATTTATTTTATAATAATTTACATTTGACCAATTTTACATCTAAAATCGCATTAACATTAATTTATACTACTCTTATATCTAATGTCTAAATAATTAAATTCCTGCAGATCGAAATTGATTGATTTGGACTAATCAGTCATATGGTTAGTAGAGTGTGATGCATCAATTTTATAACTGTAAGAAAATTTAGTATCAGCCACACACAATGTCAAACGAGCAACCAAAGTAAGTACCGAGATCATAATGGTTATTTATAATTTTAATATTTCCTTATCGGCTGATATACCATAGACAACATTTAGAATGTTTCAGAATATAATTTCAACTGAAGTTTGGATGAGTGAAATATTTTTCTTAATATGTTAAAATCACTCGCAAGAATATGGCCGTTTATCAATGCTCCAATTCCAACAGCAGTAAGATGTAGCGTAGGAGGAAGAAAAGTGATTAAGTATAGTCCCTTCTAAAGTTACATTCTATCAATTCTATAGAAATTAGAGCAATTTTCTACTATAAAACGCTATAGTTGGCATCGTATGGCTACTGTTAGTTATAAAAGGAGATACGCGACGACTAATCACTCAGTTTAATTGTTTGGCCAACGAGTTTTGAATAAGTCCTCTTATTTATAAACACAGCGTATATTATGCCGTTTGGTCAATAAAATGTATTGTTATAGTTGGAAGGAAATAGGTTGGAAAAGTTTGAGGTGATTTGATTAATAAGATTAGGGAATTTACATACTCTCGCCACGGAATTTCAAAGACGATCATATGGGGTAACTAATATTGAATCTGATGTCAAAATGGGGAATGCATTTAGATGTTTCTCTTGTTCGACTTACACCAACCGGCTATTTGGCACTGAGAATCCATATTGTAGATGATGAACATTGATTCAAAAAATGGCGTAAGAGCATCGATTTTTCTGCGAATAGTCGGATATAGTTCCATTGAGGCTAGGATCGACGCTTTAGGAGACGCAAATCGTCACTATTAGCTGCTTTGCCATAATCGATTTATCTTGCCATGGGCTTGTACATGTTTCTTTATTTCGTTTTGGTATCACACACATAAGAAGACATTTTTTCATGGTAAGGGAACCGAGGGTTTTTTTATTGTAATCAAAATGGGAGTTATTCCTTGTTGACCTATGCCACATATCATCTGAGATCCGCATTTATCGAAAAGTTCAGAAGAACCTTAATTCTGCAATTATCTTGCTCTCCTCTACAAAATCTTTGGGAAGGCTCGCCCCAAAGAAGATCTTAGGAAGTCTTACTTTCACTTTGATTGGTAATTTTAGACATTTTAAATGGACGTTTGTGCTTAGGTCTGGAGATTTTATGAATTACATAGTTAATCACTTTCTTAGTTGAAGTAATTTATTGCCCTAGATATATGATCGTAATTTTTTAAAACTGTTATTTTTTAAACCTTTTCAGCATTAAAGACCCCAAATATGTGTTCTCGGAGACAAAAGCCTTGCTCATGTCTTGTCATCCAGGAGATAACCAATCAGCCTCAGTTTATGACCTCATGACTGGTATCACCAAGTACATTGCTCAAAATAAGCCATCACAAGCATTCGATCAGTTCGAGGAGATTTCACGATTCATTAAGCTTGAAATGGGGATGGGAAATACACTGGGTGGTGTCCCCACTAAAAAGCCTAAAACTCCAGAAGCCGAATTTGCAGAGAAGGAAAGAACTCTATATTCCGTAAGTTAATTTTTTTCCTACCAATGAAATAATAGCACTAATGGATAAGTGACATGATTTTATTGTTTAGCATCCAGATCATGTGTGGAACAAACCACCATTAGTAGAGACAAACTTGCCCGAGTCATACTCTGGGAACTTTGAGGAGGACCCTGAGGAAACCGAGGTCCTTGGAAATGTCTGTCAAGAATTCTCTCTTATTGAACAATCTGGAATCGGTATGATCAATGCTTTATAAGGTCACCATTTATAATATAATAAAATTGTTATATTCAGTTTGAGTATGAAAACCAGTCATTAAATAATATATAGAAACGAAATTTACCTTATTTCCAACCCTTCTTATACAACTTATTGGGCGCAAATACCAATATGGCTATAATCGATGCAAATCCTATTTAATGCCCAGTATCGAGGTTGAGTTGATTTTCCACCAGGAAAAATACAGTTGTAACTCCCTAATTAGAGAAGCTTTTTTCGAAAAAAACTCATTTTGAGTACAGATGTAATTGGTCAAGCCTTTCATTGGATACTCACCTAAGGACATCGAATCCATTATCTCTGACCTTGCCTACGTTAATTACTGCTTCATTGGAGCTCGAACAATTAAGCAAGTTGTAGGAAGCGTGCTTTCTGTGGGTCTTTTTTTTTATCAAAGCAGAAAATCGTACAGATAAGGCAATATGGGAAGAAAGTACGTTGAGATCTACGAGAGTAAGGAAAATAGTTAAATGGATTAGAAGCACAGAAGAGTATCAAAATCAGAGGAATCAACTACCTTACCACAACGGGCGCATATGACTGTGGTAGGGTATATCTCATGCAAGGAGTAGTGGGTTAAATTCTAATTCGGCGTCTTTCATTTCAACTTCATTTATCACGTGATATATTGTATACACCCCTTTCACTTCTCATTTCATCTTTGCAAATAGCTATACCACCACACGATTACCAGACTTTGCATACACAATTGCCTATTCACGTCAAAATCTAGTTTAATACCCTTAACATAAAATTAAATAGAAATGAGAAAAAAATATTGGTAAATATGGCATTGAATAAAATGAGTAGATTCGAGTTTCCAAAGTGCGTTTTACCTCGCCAATTATTAACATTGTTATAATTCTGTGGTGGTTAGTCAAGTTAAACTATTCTAATAATGCAAGAACAATAATAATGATAATTTAAAACTTTATCTCGTTATACGATTTGCCTCTTGAAGGAAATTAAAATTTTACAATACAACACAATTGCATGTCAATTACATTTAAAGTAGTCATAATCACAAGTAAAACTACTTTCGAATTGTGATCAAATTGTGCTCCCTTATAGATCTAATGATAATCTCAAGGTTAAAAGAATAAAAGACCATTTCTCGGGGACAAGGTCACCAAGGTCAGGGCGTGTGATAGACTTACCTCCACGTGGTGCACCTTGGGCAAAGTATATTCATACGGCAAAAAAGTCTATTGACTGGCAGTTGACTTCTGACTTCAAACTACCATCACCTCACTCTATGCCATATTCGACTATTTCCACAGTACTCACCTCACCTTTGTTCTACCTTTGTGTCTGTCTCTTTTACATCTTTGAAACACTCTTCTCTTCTCCCCCCAAGCCTTTTTTTCACTTTG